AAGTGTTGTGCCAGGCTGAATTCAGGGAGATAATGCCTTCCTGACCCTTGTGAATATCATTTTATGCCCCGAAGAATAAGATTTAACTACCCTTATCTTAACATGAGTAACTTCAAATGTTGCTATTGGTCTTAAACTTCTCCAGACTTCGTAATAAGTCTCATATTAGGTTATATTAACTTTGTACAGTACTTCTAGCCCTACAGTCAGAATTGTTGCCATGTGAAGCCAAAAGCTATTATTTCTTATTCATATGTTGACTAATTTGATTGTTTGTTCCCTTGTATCAGAAAGTCACAGACACAGTCAATTGCTATAAGTGCACTGCATAAAATCAAAGTGTGACAGGGTGCATTGCATCTTTTAACAAAAGGAAAAGACATTATACCATATTCTCATCCAGATTATGGGCCCGATCTGGCATTTATAATCATAGAATCATAAAATTGTAGGACTGAAAGGGACTTCAAAGAGTTAAGTCCAACCCCCTGCACTAAGGCAGGACCAAGTAAACCTAGACCATTGCGGACAGGTGTTTGTCCAACCTGTTCTTTAAAAAATCCAATGATGGGGATTCCACAACCTCCCTTGGATGCCTATTCCAGAGTTTAACTACCCTTATAGTTAGAAATTTTTTCCTGATATCTAACCTAAATCTCCTTTGCTGCAGATTAAGCCCATTACTTCTCGTCCTACCATCAATGGACATAGATAATAATTGATCACGGTCCCCTTTATAACAGCCCTTAACATATTTAAAGTATGTTATCAGGTCCCTCCTCCCCCAGTCTTCTTTTCTCAAGACTAAACATGCCCAGTTTTTTTATCCTTTCCTCATAGGTCAGTTTCTAAACCTTTTATTGTTTATGTTGCTCTCCTCTGGACACTCTCCAGTTTGTCCACATCTTTCTGAAAGTGTGGCACCAAGAACTGGTCACAGTACTCCAGCTGAAGCCTCACCAGTGCCAAGTAGAGTGAGACAAGTACTTCACATGACTTACATCCAGCACTCCTGTTAATACACCCAAGAATGTTGTTAGCTTTATTCACAGCTACATCCCACTGTTGACTTATATTCAATTTGTGATCCACTATAAACCCCAGATCCTTTTCAACAGTTCTGCCACCTAACCAATTGCTAGGTGGCAGATAATTGATAACTTAGTATTTTCTAAACAAACAAACAAATGCAGTATTTAAATCAGTAATTTGGGGGCATAAACCTGCAGGCATTCTGCATGCAGACCTTCCACTGAAGCCAATGGAAGATCAGCACATAGCACCTTTACAGGATTAGACCCTGCTTCACTGCTTATTCTGTTGAAATGTTGAGCTTTCCTTTTTATTAATTAATCGTTCTCTGTGTCTTTGTATTTACTTTCCCAGATGTTCCAGCCTATCATTTTACTTATTCTCATCCTTGTGTTGTTTTCATCCCTTTCTTACACAACAATATTTAAACTTGTCTTCCTTTTTACACTATTTTTTGTATTATAAACCTTTAATCATTTACTGTTCATTGTAGTATTATTTTCAGTTTGTTCATTTTGTCCACCCTCCAAGATAAGAAGTGCAAGAGATATAGTTTCTGTAGTAGCCACTGCTGTAAAAACACTGAAGACTACTTGTTTGCAAAAAAGAACAAAACAAAGTGAAACAAAAACAAAAAGCAAAACAAAACCTAAAAAAGCCACCCAGTTGAATAAGAATTCTCCTCACCAAGGTATTCCAGGTAAGCTAACAGAAAATAGGTTTTTTTAAATTTTGTCTTAAGAAAATTGTTTTATACTTTTATAATAAAAATGTTCTCGAGAAAATTGAGCCGATTTAGCTAGTATTTATTCATTTTTACTTATTAGAATTGATAGAGTCATTTTGTTTTCTTCATTTCAAAATATTTGTATTGCAATCCCAAGTGAACAGTAAAATTACCTCCAGTGTGTATGTTACAGTTGTTTTTCACTGCTTTTGTACATTTTGTGTGATGGTGGACCCATTTGATAGTGGTGTTTTTCACCACTGTGTGGTGTGGATTTGACGCTCAAATCCAAATGATAAGAACAGGAAGTTTGCATTTAGTCTGCCTCACATGAATGGCCTTCTCCTGGGCAGGAATGGACATCCACAGCTTCTGTTGGCATTGCTGAGAGTTGTGGATGCTCAACACCTTTGAGGATCAGGCCTATAGAGTGGACATTATATCCTATCCTGTTTGAGGCCCTTCAGTGGTGAATGGTAGGGAGGAGGTGTCAAAATTAGAATGGTGTGTAATAAGACAGTTTTGTGTGAAAACAGATTGAGAGGTGGCACAGGGATAGAAAAACTGTGCAACGTTCACCTGGTCTATCCCTCTGACCCCATATTGATCATCTCACCAGCTTTATCCTGTCTGTCCATCCCTCTTGGCCACTGACCCTAATTTGCCTTCCTTCCTTACTGTAAGATCTGCTGGCTCACTCCACCCTGGCCTGACTTTTCACCTCCCCACACCTGGTTCCTGGCTCAAGGAGGAAGTCAGGAACTGGCAGCCAGTGGAATTGAGTCAGACATGGAGAGCAAGCACATCTGGCAGGGGTAAAGCCCTCACTTGAAGAGTCCCATAAAGCTCAATCCTCTCCCCTGTATTATTCAACGTGGGACACTGGGACAGCTGGTGGGGACAATATGGTCTGAAGTGACACCAGTACTCATATGACACCCATCTCTACATCTCCTTTATGTCAGATCTAAACAACACCATCTTCCAGCTTTCTCTGTGATTAGCTAAATCAGCCCTTAGATAAACAACAACTGACTAAAACTGAGCTCCGGTAAGATGGAGGTGATGCTACTGGGAAGAGGGACATGCCTCAAAGAATTGGCCTTCTCTGTAATGTACCCCCTACTGAGGCATGTGCCCTCAGATTATTAAATCAGTCTTCAACCCTGGAGTCTTTTGGACTCCTCACTGCTCATAGTGGCAAAAAGGCGACTTCTATCTGTGACCAGCCTGAAGGCTGCAGCCCACCCTTTTGGCCATGGTGGTCCGTGCATTTCTGATTTTTAAGAGTGATCATAGCAACTAAGTATTATCTAGGAATGAAGCCACACATCCTGAAAAAGTGTCAACTAGTATAAAATGCAGCAGTCTTTCTGCCTAGCAACATAGGTTGCCATGGAGCTATCACACCAGTGCTCTGTTATCTGCACTTGCTACTAAATAAATAAAGTTCAGGTCAGTGTCTCTGTCCTAGTATTGAAAACCCTCCTGGGGATTGGCCCCAGCTAATTGAAGGAATGTCTTTCAGTGTTAGAGACTCCACTTTCATAGGAGCTTGGACCTAACTTGTGGAATTCATTCCACAGGCGCTAAGAAAGTAGTAACTTCACAGCATTAAATGCAAACCTCATTTCTTTGATTGAGCTTTCTCTCAAAAAGCTCTTCTCCCATAACAACATAAATAAAACAAAACAAACAATCAAAACCCCTAACTCTAATCAAGAAATGTAATCCTATCTTTTGTGAAGAAAGCAAAAGAAACTGTCTTTGTTATTTCATTTAAAATTATTGAGAGGTGTGCAGATGCGATGGTAATGAGCATCACATAAGGAGTAGACCCAGGTTCTCACCCCTTGGAGGACCTGCCAGCATGTTGCTAGAAAAAGTGACCTTAATATGGTATTGAACCCGAATCATCTCTCAATCTCCCTAGAGCAGTGGTTCTCAAAGCCGGTCTGCCGCTTGTTCAGGGAAAGCCCCTGGCGGGCCGGGCCGGTTTGTTTACCTGCCACGTCCGCAGGTTCGGCCGATCGCGGCTCCCACTGGCTGCAGTTCGCTGCTCCCCCCACGGTCCCGCCCAGTTCCACACATGGTCAGCCCCATTCTGTCCCCGCACTGTGGCCTCGCAGTCTTACTCCTTTCTCTCCCCCCCACTGTGGCCCCAAGACCAGAGAAGCTCTGTCCCCTCCCCCCCACCATGGCCCTGGGTCACAGCAGGGAGTGAGAGCTCCCCCAGTCCTGAGGCCGTAGCAGGGAGCTAGAGTTCCTCCAGTCCTGGGGCCATAGGCATAGTCTGACTGCTATATTTGGGGGGACAAAGCATGCCCATGCACGCACACATGCATGCTGAAGTCAGTCCCCTTGGTTCACTGGCTCTCTCCCTCCGCCTACAGTGGTACCTGGGCTGCAAGTGCTGGGGGGGACAGGACGGCGTAATGGGGGAGCCCCAGCTGCTGCTGGCAACCATTCTGGCACCGGCTGCTGCAGCGATGTCACTGTTCGGGTGCTGCTGCTGTTTTCTGTCTGCTGGGGCTGCTGCTGCCCAGAGTATGCTACATGCTGGGCTCCTGGTTCCCCCTAACCATTCCCATATCACCTTCTCTTCCTCATCCCCTCCCCCTTCCTCTCCCTTCTCTTCTCACCCCATCTCCATTGCTCTGCCCCCCCCCCCCACTGTTGTAGAAGAAACAAGTGGGCACTAGGACCCAGGAGGCTCTGTCCAGCTGCTGAGGCAGGACCCAGAGCACAGGGGAAAAGCTGCTCCGTCCTGCTCTGTCCACTCCCTGTGAGCCAAAAACATGTAGGGGGGGGCGGGATTTAGTATAGGGAATGACAAAGCCCCTCCCACACCAGGCGAGCAGAGTCAGGGAGCAGGGTTGGGGCATGGGGATGCCAATTTTTCCAGGGCCCCCAGTTAGGGTTATCAGGCATCTGTTTTTTGACCGGAATGCCCAGTCGAAAAGGGACCCTGGCAGCTCCAGTCAGCACCGCTGACCAAGGTCCGGTTGGCACGGGGCTGGCAGGCTCCCTACCTGATTCTGTGTGGCTCCCAGAAGCAGTGACATCCCTTGGCTCCTAGGCATAGGTGCAGCCAGGGGGGCCTCCGTGCGCTGCCCCTGTCCTGAGCGCCAGCTCCGCAGCTCCCATTGGCTGTGAACCGCGGCCAATGGGAGCTGCAGGGGCAGCGCTTGTGGGCGGAAGCAGTGCGCAGAGCCGCACCTCTGCCTAGGAGCCAAGGGACATGTTGCCACTTCTGGGAGTCCCCCAAGGTAAGCCACCCAGAGCCTGCACCCTGAACCCTCTCCTGTGCCCCAACCCCCTGCCCCTGCCTGGAGGCCCCTCCCACAGCCTGAGCCCCTCATTTCTGGCCCCACCCCAGAGCCTGCACCCCCAGGCCAGAGCCCGTACTCCCTCCAACATCCCAACTCCCTGCCTCAGCCCAGAGCCACCTCCCATTCTCCAAACCCCTCGGCTGCACCCCCCAGGTCAGAGCCACCTCCTGCACCACAAACCCCTCATCCCTGGCCCACCCCAGAGTCCACACCGCTGCCCCAGCTGGAGCCCCTTCCCACATCCTGAACCCCTCATTTCTGTCTCCACCTCGGAGCTCGCACCCCAGATGGAGCCCTCACCCCCTCCCGCACCCCTGCCCCAGCCCGGTGAAAATGAGCGAGTGAGCGAGGGTGGGAGAGAGCGAGCGACAGAGGGAGGGGGTAATGGAGAGAGTGGGTGTGGGGCCTCGGCGAAGGGGCCTAGGGGCAGAGGGAGGGGCAAGGGTGTTAAACTTTGTGTGGTTAGAAAGTTGGCAATCCTACCCCCAATTGGCCAGGGCCCCTTGGCACGGGCCCCGTCAGCCCAATTACTAATCCTCCACTGCCTCCAGCCTCGCTGCTGTAGCACTAGCAGGAGGAGCTATCAGCTGCAGCCGCAGTGCTGGAGGAACTATCAGCCCCCACTGTAGCGGTGGTGCTGGAGGGACTGGGTTAATTATAGCCAAAGGTTTGTTGTTATGAAGCGTGTTATAGCGAGGGTGTATTTTACCTACCGCATCCTCAGTGTAGACAATGGTAGACCTCTTGGGGTGATGGATTACCAGTGCTGATGGGAGAATCTCTCATGTTGGCGTAGGTAGTGCCTACACTGAAGAACTGCAGGGGCACAGCTGTGCCACTGTAGCCTTTTAAGTACAGACGCCCTAAGGAAATGTTCTTCATTGCTCACTAAATGCCATACTGGTGGAGGCTGAGTTAGCCCTAGCTGAATGAAAATGGGGTGTAGCTTACATTTTGTTCAAATGAGGCATAAGCAGGCATGGAAGAGAACCTGTTTTATTAAAGTAAGTATTAATATTAGTCAACATGATTGTATAACATATGCTTAGATTGGATTAAAAATCTGGCTTTCATGTTAAAGATGGCTGCAGCATCATCATAATAACCTACCTCTATATACTAAATTTCACCTCAAAGGAAACCAATTCACTTTACAAATTTACATAGGAATCACTTCACCAACCATTGAAATGCAGGCACAGGTGTGGTAGAATGTTACAGCTGTTTTAGCACCAAAATACTTGCAAACACTACCACGCATAGTGCTCATTGTCTTGAGTAGTCCCATCCAAGTAAATTGGACTATTTATGGTAGAAAGGGCTACACCCAATAGTAATAATTTGAAGGACTGCTTCTTAAAAAGTGCACAGAAATGCTACACTACAGTTAAGGCAGGAAGTGAAAATCAACATCTATTTGAAGCTGCTGAAGGAATTTTGGTAGGAGAATGTAATTAACACAAATATGAATTTGGGCTGAATGGTGGGATTAACATCCTACTTTTGCAAAAAATGCCTTGAGATTTGACCACAAGGACCTCCTGTGCTTTATCTCTGTCTGAAAGACAGCTCCTCCTGCAGCACAGTGCCTCTGGGCATTGCCTCAGAGAGAGGAGTCCCACTTACATAGGCCTAATTCTG